CCCCAGAGACCCCCAAGAGGAGCCCCCATGGAGCCTTCAGGCCAACACAAGCCGAGGAGGCCCCGCCCCACCCGCGCGACGCCTTTCTTCGCCCCCATGTTCTGGACAAGGCTGTCCGGAACATGGGAAAGGGATCATGCGCCGCCGACATTGACGACGACGATCGCGCAAGGTATAGAAGGCAGGGGTCCAGGGTCGAGGGTGCGAGCGAATAGGGCGCAGGAGCGCAGGAGAATGATCAGAGGCCCCCCCATTTTCCAGAAGCGCGCTTCCAGAACATGGGATGGGAGAAGACCCCGCCGCCTTCGTGGCAAGAATCTCCCCCCCTCAGCGCCCAGGCCGTGCCCGCAACTAGAACCTGAGCGCACGCGAAGCGCGCGCGAAGGTTCTAGTATACATGTATATATATATATATACAAGACTGCATTGGCGCTTCGCGCCATGCACCTTGGTTCTTAAAGCTCGGCATGCAGGATAACCAAATATAGCGATGAATCATTGTTGCCGTTTGCGCCACCGTCGTTATAGTAATGTTATGTATTATCCTTATACTTCCTCTCCTCTTACTCGTAATCTTCCTTGTCTGCGAGCCACTCCTTGTCCTCATCCCCAGTTTTTATTGCAGGGGCTCCTCTTTGGAGGTGTTCTTGGGCCCCTCTCAAAAGCTTTTTTGGGACCTCTGGGGGCCTCCTGGGCGCCTTTTGGGGGCCTCTGGGGGCTTCTTGCGGCCACCTTGCTACCAACCACTGTCTCCCTGAACGACCGGGTCACGATTTGGAGTGCTTCGGGAGGTGTCTTGGGGCCATCTGGGGCTGTCAGCGGGGCTCTCTTGGGGCCATCTTGCGGCCCTGTGGGACCATATTGGAGCTCTTTTGGACTGTCTGGAAGCCCTTTGACACCGTTGTGGGAGGATTTTTGGGGCCTCTTCGGCGGACTCGGACGCACGGAATACCGAAGAACCGAATGTCCAAAAATTCAATAAAAAACTAAAGGAAAGTGTTGTTTTTTGCACTTGGAGGACCTCTTGGGGGTCTTCTTTGGGTCGTCTTCGGGCGTCTTGGGGCTGTCTGGGGCTGCGTGGGGCTCTCGCGGGGCCGTTTGGCCGCCCTCCTGACCGCTTTGGGCCCGCTGGCAAGGCCCGGCAGGGGCGTCCAGGAGGCCCGGAAGGCCCGGGGGACCCATTGCAAGGCGTCCAGGGGGCCCCAAAAGCGCCAGATCCCGGGCGTCCGGGAATATATATATATATATATATATATATATACATATGGTGTATATAATATAATATAATAATATAATATAATATAATATAATATTATATACTATACTATAATATATATAATATATAATATATAATATAATATAATATAATATAATATATAATATAATATATAATAATATTATATATGATATAATATAATATAATATACTATAATATAATATAATATAATATATTATAATATAATATAATATAATCTAATATAATATATTATAGTATAATATAATATAATATAATATAATATAATATAATATAATTATATATACACATATGGATTGGCCTTCGGCCCATCCCGCCACCGTGCCTGGGCTGTGGGTGTGAAGCCTCATGGGATCTCTTGTGGGAGCCCTCTCGGGGGCCTCTTGGATGCAGTTCGGAGGCCTCTTGGGGGCCTCTTGGGGCCTCTTGGGGGCCTCTTGGGGCCTCCTGGGCGCCTCTCTTGGGGCTTCATGGGGTCCGCTCAGATTTTCAGTTCGTGTTCCCTTTCTTGGGCCCCTTGTGGGGCCGTCTTGGGCTCCTCTTGGGCCGTCTTGGGCGCCGCTTGGGCCGTCCTGGGGCGCTCTTAGGCCGTCCTCGGGCCCTCTTGGAAGTCTCTTTGGCCGTTTTGGGGTGGTCTTGGGGGCCTCTTCGGCCGTCTTGGGGCGTCGGGGAGCCGAAAAGGCGAGCACGCCCAAATCTCTCCCAAACCTCGGGAAAAAGTTAATGATGTTTGCCTCTTGGGGCAGGCTTGTGGGCGTCCTGAAACGATCTTTCGGCGACTCGGGGCCCTCTTGGACCGTCCGTCTTGGGGGCCTTGTGGGGCCCTCTTGGCACGTCTTCGGGCCTTCTTGGGGTCTTGGGGGCCTGGTGGGGCCCTCTTGGCCCGTCTTCGGGCCCTCGTGGGCCTCGAAAAGTCGTGCGAGAGGATTTCCCGGAGCCCGAGGGGCACGCCGGGAGCCCCGCCAAATTTCGGCTTTGGGGTCCGGGCCATTTCGAAGATTCCTCAGGGCTGAGGGTTGAGGCTCCAGGGATTAGGCAAAGGAGCTGAGGACACGACCCCTCCGTGTCCAGAGGCACGGTGGCTAATTCATTACTACATGTATATGTATACAACAACAATACAATATGCATATATATATACATATACATACATACATACATACATACATACATACATACATACATACATACATACATACATACAATATATATATATATGTATATATTTGTATATATGTATATATACATACATACATACATACATACATACATACCGGCCTGGGTTCTGGAACTCTTGGACTAACCCGGCTCCCGGATCCCTAGAACACAGCATTAGCCTATATGGTATTTAGCATACGACAAAGTATGGTTTCAAACGTATTGTATGGTGTGTATATACACATAATTAGAAAAAATCATTCGGCCCATCCCGCCACCGTGCCTGGGTTGTGGGTATGAAGACTATTGGATGTTCGTTGGGATCTCGTGGGAGGCTTCTCGAGGGCCTGTTGGAGTCAGTTTGGAAGCTTCTTGGGGCCGTTTGGGGGCCTCTTGGGGCCTCTTTTGGGCCTCGTGGGACCTCTTGGGGCCTCGTGGGGGCCTCTTGGGGTCTCTTGGGACCTCTTGGGTGCCTCTTGTCCTTGGGGTTTCTTGGGGCGGAAGCTCGGATTGTCGGTTCCCGTTCCCTTTTTCGGGCTCCTTTTGGGACTGTTTTGGGGCTTTCTTGGGCTGTTTTGGGCGCTTCTTGGGCTGTCTTCGGGCTCTCTTGGGCCGTTTTGGGGCACTCTTGGAGGGGGCGGTCTTGGGGGTCTCTAGGGCCGTCTGGGAGTGTCGGGGAGCCGAAAAGGCGAGAACGCCAAAACCAGTCAAACACCTCAGGAAAATCAATCATCGTGGCCTCTTGGGGTTCTCGTGCGGGTGCTGTTGGAAGCTTCTGGGGCCGTCTTGGAGGTGTTTGGGGCTGTTTCGAGGCTGCAGACAACGTCTTTGAGCTATGTTTCGCCGAGTGGGGGCTCTCTTCGACCGTTCTGGGCGGTCACAGCGTCCAGAGGACTCGCAGGAAGTACCCCAGAACGCACTGGAGCCGTCACGTGAAACCCCAACACGGCCTGGGACGGCCTTGGAAACGGTTGGTCGGGGCCTTTAGAGAACAATTCTGGCTGCAGCAGCAGCGCAGCCTCAACCCGCCAGTGCTGCATGAGTCTTGGGGCACTCCACTTCGTGCCAGAGGCACGGTGGCGGATATAGATCGAAGACGCTTACGGCGAATCACCGCCGCCCCCTGCCTTTTGGAGAAAGAAGGAGACGAGGAGAGAGAGAGAGAGAGAGAGGAAACAGGAGGAGGAGGCCTCTTCGAAGCGTCTTGGGGCACTCTTGGGGCCTCCTGGGAGCTTCCTGGGGGCCTCTTGAGGGCTTCCTTGGAGGTCTTTGGGGAGGCTCTTCGGAGAAGGGGGAGGAGGGGGAGGGGGAGGGAGAGTGGGAGGGGGAGGGGGAGGGGGGGACGACAAGCTAGGTGCGCTCGCGTCATATCTGGCATCCTACCCCTCCCTCCCATCCCTTACCATGGCGTAGATCCCCTCTCTACTCGCACAGTCGGATGTCGAGCAGGGCAATGATCCCGAAAGGGTACGCGATGCATTGTAGAGCACGGCATGGCATGGCGTAGAAGAGCACCGCAAAGCGTAGTATGTCACAGCATGGCGTGGCGTGGCGTAGTGAAGAATTCCATCACAAAGCTTTGCAACGCAAAGCATGGCATCGCACAGCGGCCCCGAACATAACATTGCATTGCATGGCGTTGAAGATACAAGTGTAGCATGGCATAGCATGACGTGGCACTTACGCACTGGATGTGACACCTTCAGCTGAAGGCATGGCATCGCGCAGCGGAACGCAACCTAGCATTTCATTGCATGCCGTGGCATGGCACGGGAAATGACGCCAGCGCTGCAGCGGGAGCACGATTCGGAACGAGCGGAAGCGCGGAAATGAGGTCAGCGCTGCAGCGGGAGCACGATTCGGAACGAGCGGAAGCCCGAAAATGAAGCCCGCGCCTCAGCGAGAGCATCATTTCTACAAAAAACAAGCGAAAACCCAACTCCGGGAAATCCTGTGCGTAAAAAAGCAGTACGCGGAGGGGTGCCCGCTATCTTCCGCACGCCATCAGGGGATGGAGGAGAGTGGTTTTCATATGGTGTAATTGTCGAAGGCGACGAGGGCCCCTCTGAGTTTCGCCCGGATGGCGCGGCCCCCCGGATGTGTTCGGAGGGTTCTGGAGGCTTCCAGAGGTGCTTGGCAAATCATTACCAGTTTGGCAAATCACGACTGATCTATGTATCCTAGACCTCCCTCCCTCGCTCCTCTCCTAAACCCTAGATCCTCCAAGATCCTCCTGCTGCCAGGCCACTGGCCCCTCTTGGGTGATCCTGCGGCTCCCCTCCCCTCCCTTGGCCGTCACCCCACCTCCAGAGACCCAGACCCTCCTGCCTGGAGCTCCCCGGAGGTCCCCGCGAAGCCCCGAGAGGCCTCCGCGAGGCCCGACGGAGGTCCGAAGCGTCGTCTCGCTCGCCGGCACCTCGAGGCCCCTCGCGGCAGGGACTCCCCGGGCCCCACGGGGCCCCTCGAGGCCCCTCGGGGGCCCCACGAGGCCGCTCGGGGCCTCGAGGCCTCGTCGGCTTCGCAAGCGACGCGCGGACGCGGCGCGCCGTCGTCGATGGCTCTCGCCCGTCGTCGTCGCCGCGGGCAGATCGGCAACGTCGTCTCGCTCGCCGGCACCTTCTTCCTGGCGGGCCCCGCGGCGCAGCTGCGGACGCGGGGGCTGGGGCGCGCTCGACGAGGCAAGGCCGGCATGAGCGTAAACTTGTGGACGACGATCGATGGAGAGAGAGAGCATGTTGCCAAATGGTTTCAAGATGTCAAGATCTGTTTACAACGGGACTTAAGCATGTCAAACACATAGTTGAATCATTGTTCGCACGTGTTCAAACATGTTAAACAATGTTTAATTCAATGATCGGATCGTCAGGGTGTCCACTGTCATTGCGTCCACAGACATGTGCTGTCGGAGCTCCGCGAGGACTTCTGGGGTCGGCGCCACCCTGGCGGCGCCTCCGCCTCCGGCGTCGCCCCCTGTCACGCTCCGCGCGGCATCGGTCCAAGAAGCCTGCGCGGAGCCCTGAAAGTCTGGGGCCACCACGAGGGTGCGAAGTTAGTCGCGCTTCGCGGTCTGGGCGATTTTTCAGAGCGAGGTGCGAGTCCCTCATCCTGTTCTGGGAGGGGGGGGGGCGGCGCGACAGCGCGAATCTGATCCGTACCTGGTGGGGTCGACATCAAGGGGTTTGTCATGGACTGGAAGGACCCCGACCCCACCTCGCTCACGGCCTCTGGCGCTCGTGCAGTTCTTCGGGCCACCCTGAACAACATCCCAGGGGACATCCGCGCACTCGTGGACGCTGACAAGTCAGACAGTTTCCTGGACAAGAAAGCGCTGCACACCAAGATCACAACCTTCCTGAATAATAAGAACCGAGGGGACGCCTGGAATCTAAGCAAATCCATCAAGTCCTTGACCGACCAGGGCACCATCACCATCCACCAGAGGGCCCCCTCGGTCACCGTCGAACCAGATCCTTCTTTCACCACTTTCCGCCAGCAGGCCGCTAAGTTCTACAGCGCTGTGGAGAGCCTCGACCTGAATAAGACGGAGCTCAAGCTGGACTACCCCCAAATCAGCGGGAACTAGCACATCGTCGCCTGTCGTGTATCTGGAGTACCTCACCCGATCAAGCTGGCCACATACAATATGCACCCGTGCTGGTCTATCATCGCCGGCAACTGGCGGGATTGGGGATGCCAGGCAGACGAGACGGCCATCATGGCCGCAATCACGGGTGCATGACGGACTCGCGGGCGTGCACGACTGAGGGGTTCTAGTCGCATTGCGGGTCTCACTCTCGTGTCCTGGAATGTTAACAATGTTCCGATGTGTACGATTCCTGAGATTATCTCAAAGGTTGTATCTTTCTACGGATCTGATGTGATTGTGAGTCTTCAAGAAGTCTCTTTTTGGAAGGAGGAACTTGAAGATTATGTGCACATCGGAGGCTGGGAATATCATCGTGAGAAGGGCTCATACGTCGCCTTTCTCTGGCCTGTTCAGTTCTCTTCGCGCGTGCAGTCAGGCTACGTTAGCATGGCACGAGTGGCAGGGGTCATGATTCAGAATCTCTGCGCTCAATCCTGCTATCGTCCTGACTCCTGGGGCTATAACATCAATGATTTCAAGGATCGTATTTCAGACATCATCTCTAACTGTCGGTTTATTGCGGCCTCGTCATCATCTACTTCTTCTTCATCCTATGCTCACGTCATCATGGGGGATTTCAATGCGTCACTACCTGGGTGGGAATGGCCCGACAAGTTGCCGATCTTCGTCTTTTCAGGAGATGTCATGCAGGCTTTCGACTACCTCAGCCCCGCAGCATGCTCTCATGCCCTACAGTTTCGCCGTATGCATGGTTCTCTCGCCGCAGCCCTACGACTGGAGGGTGTAGATCTCGAGCTGGTTCCAGTGTTCCGAGGCGCCCAGAGTCCTGTACATATTCCCTATACTACATGTGAAAAGACTGGGGCTACTGATACCACGGGGAAATGGAATTATGTTAGTGAGCTTATCTTTTCTAACTTGAGGAGAATCTGGAGTGAGACGGGGGGGAGGGCTACTTATTGAGGGTATTAGATACTACAACCTCCAGTGGGCTGATAATTGGTTGCTTCTGGTCTTGTCCGCAGAGAAGTTGCGGAAGATGATTCAGGACGCGACTTACGAGATGAGTAAGGTGGGGCTCTTCTGGAAAGCCAAGGGCATGGAGTATCTCACGCCCAGTATCGAGCACCAACCATCCTTGCCTATTACCACATTTTGGCCTGGGTCTACGTTCCTTGCCGCTCCGCCCGAAGAGGTTACCGACATCGGTCCCGCCCCCGCCTTCCTCGGGCCTCAAGCTCCCCAGGGGGGAGTTCTCGCCTGGAACCAAAGAATGTTCGAACGTGTTCGCCAGCTCGAAGGAGGCATGCTTCGGAAAATCGCTCGGGTTTCAAAACGGGAGATCGAGAACAACGAGCAGTATTTTAAGAGAGCGACTCGCCAAGCACGTGCTATGGGCAGACAGGCAGGCCACAAGGATATGGAAATCCGATGTCTTGAGAATATATTTTACCATGTGCCCTCTTTCTTTCAGGACAACTCGTGGCGCCAGACCAGAAGTGGATTTCCTCGACCATGATTATATATATACAGAGGCGGCATGGCGTCGCCTCTCAGCCTCGCGCAAGGTGCTGGAGGCGCACCTGCCAGGTCCCAAGCGAGTGCGCCACGGACCTGATCGTTGGAAGCGCAGGGCGGGATGGACGAGGAGGACTACCTGGGAGGACTTACTTTTGTGAATTATGGGGCAACGACTGGAGGGATAGAATCAAGGACTGGGCGGAGGGGAAGGAGAACTTTCTTGTCTGGGCTCTGGAACGCAGAGTCGGAGTTCAGGGCCGCGCGGCCCTTCGCCTCGAGCGACAAGGCCGACTTCAGTGCGTATCTGTTCGCGCTGAATCCAAGAAGCGCAAGCGGGTGGCCTTCGAGGAAATGATCGGATGGAGGGCGGACGGCTTTAACAAAGTGAATATCGTTCTGGACATTAGGGGGGCAGCAGTACCGTTATCAGATGGGCGAGGGGCTTATCCAAGATAAACGACAACAGCTACAAGAAACAATATTCAGAACATACAGAACATCTTACATAGTCCTCTGAGGGCCTGGGGAATGAGTACTGCCAACGTAGGAAGGGATCTCTTCAGGCACGCGTATAGAGAATATAATATGCTCGCCGATGCGTGCGCGACCAGAGGGATCCAAGAGCAGATCTCTTTCTTTTCCAACCGAGCTGGATCGATGTGCCTCCCTGCCCAGGGCCCCATCTTCCTTCGGGGTTCCTTCGACGGCGGGGTCCGTGATGGCCTGGCTGGTTTTGGCTTCGTCGTTGAGGTCATCGACCCTCTTTCGAATCAGAGTGACGGCGTCCTCCTCGAAGGAGGCGGGGGCCTGGGTGTCAGCGCAGTGACGCAGGCTGAGCTCCGTGGATTGTGGAAGTTGACGAGGGCGGCCGAGCTCCTGGCGACGACGCACAGGGGCCGCTGGGCCGAGCTCTCTCTTGTCTACTCTCTGCGCCCTCTCTCTGTCTCTGCCACCCGCCATCCCGCTGCTCTCTTCTTGCAGCTGCCGGCGCGACTCGTGCGAAGAAGGCTGGGCCTCGAATTCCTCCTCCTGATCCCCCTCCTCCTCTCTTGGAGGATCGAGACTGGGGGATCCAGGTCTGGGCCTATTCGTCTTCTGGCGGCCTTCGAGGGCGCGTCTCGGACGACAGGTCAGGGCAGACCCCGGGGGGGGGGGGTCCGGCGATTGGTTTCGAACGGATTCTGATCGGATCTCGCCGTGGAGGAAAGGGGTCTTGAGGTCTTGAATTAAGTCGGGCCTGTCCCTCTACATGAGGAGGTATTCAAAAACAGTTAAAAACCATCCCAGTGCGACCCTACCTAGGCGTTGGAGCATTTAGGGAAACAACATCTACATCTACACCGACAGCTACATGTACATCTACACCTGCATCAACATCAACACCAACATCAACGGCGAGATTCACATCTACATCTACATCTACACCTACGCTCGGCTGCGCTGTGTTGTGCTATGCTATGCTATGCTATGTTGCGCGATGCTATGCTATGCTTCGCTGTGCTATGAAATCATATGCTATGCTGCGCTATGCTATGCTAGGTTGTGCTATGATGTGCTATGCTGCGCTATGCTATGCTAGGCTAGGCTATGTTATGCCATGCAGCGCTATGCTGTGCTATGCCATGGTATGCTATGCTATGCTATGATGCGCTGTGCTATGCTAAGCAACGCCGTGTTATGTTATGATATGCTATGATATGCTGCGATATGCTATGATATGCTATGGCATGCTATGCTGAGCTATGCTCTGTTATGCGATGTTTGGCTATACTATGCTATGGTACGCTGTGCTAATGCTGCGCTGCGTTATGCTGCGCTGCGCTAAGCTCAGGTAAGCCCAGCTGAGCTAGGCTAGGCTAAGCTAAGTTAAACCAATCTAAACTAAGCTAAGATGAGATAAGCTCAGCTAAGCTAAAACATGCTAGGCTAGGCAAAGCAAAGCTAAGCTAAACTAAGATGAGATAAGCGAAGCTAAGCTAGGCTAAGCAAAGCTTAGCTAAGCTTAGCTAAGCTAAGCTGGGTGAACCCAGGGGGCGCGACTGGGGGAACCGCGGGGCGGGGACTGGGGGAACCGCCCGGGGCGGCCTACACTGCCCGGCCCCTTTCAGCAAACAAAGTAAGAACCCTCTAGGCAGAGTCTAGGTAGGGAAATAGTCTGGGGACGATTTTTGAGTATCGTTTGGTTATTTTTGTCGGAGGTGAGGGGGTGAGATCGAAGTGGAGCGGAGAGCCCCCCTGCCGGGAAATCGATTTCGGTTTCGTGTTCGTGCGTGCCGTGCGCGCGGGCGAGGCGAAGCCGCGCGGGCGGGCGAGAGAAAGTCTCCTGTGGCTGAGGCGCGGCCGGACCAAATGATTCTCCACCGGGCGGCCGGTGGCGCGCGGTGTCCCGCCGGTGCCCCGCTGGTGTCCCGTCGGTGTCCCTGTGGCTGAGGCGCGGCCGGACCAAATGTGTCTCTTCCGGGCGGCCGGTGGCGCGCGGTGCCCTGCGGGTGTCCCGCCGATGTCCCGTCGGTGTCCTGTCGGTGTCCCGATGGTGATGTTGATGGTGATTATGATGATGGTTATGATGATGATGATGATGATGATGGTGATGACGATGATGTTGATGATGGCGATGATGATGATGTTGATGTTAATGGATGATGATGATGACGTCGCTTGTGAGATCGATTGTGATATCGATAGTGAGACCGAGTGTGCGATCGATTGTGAAATTGATAGTGAGATCGATTGTGGGATTGATACTCAGATCGATTATGGGATGATGATGGTGATGATGGTGATGATTGTGATGATGATGGTGGTGATGATGATGATGACGTTGATGATGTTGATGATGATGTTGTCCCGATGACGATGATGTTGATGGTGTTGATGACGGTGATGATGATGTTGATGATGATGATGGTGCCCCGATGATGATGATGGCGTTGATGATGATGATGCCGATGATGATGATGGTGTTCCGATGGTGATGATGATGATGTTTATGATGTTGATGATGATGATGACGATGATGGTGTCCCGATGATGATGATGATTATGATGATGATGACGATGTTGAGGATGATGATGATGATATAATGATGATGATGGTGTCCCGATGATGGTGTTGATGGTGATGTTGATGATGATTTTGGTGTCCCGATGATGATGACTATGATGGTAATGATGATGACGATTGATGATTGTGATGATGATGATGTCCCGATGATGATAATGATGATGATGATGTGATGATGTTGATGATGTTGATGATGGTGATGATGATGTTGGTGATGGTGATGGTGTCCTGATGATGATGATGACGGCGTTGATGATAATGATGTCGGTGATGATGATGGTGTCCCGATGGTGATGATGATGTTGTTTATTATGTTGATGATGATGATGATGACGATGTTGGTGTCCCGATGATGATGATTCGGATGATGATGATGACGATGTTGATGATGATGATGAAATGATGATGCTAATGATGGTGTCCCGATGATGACGGTGTTGATGATGATGATGATGTTGATGATAATTATGGTGACCCGATAATGAGGACTATGATGGTGATGCTGATGATTGATGATGGTGATGATGATGGTGTCCCGATGATGATAATGATGATGATATGATGATGTTGATGATGACGATGTTGCTCGTCGAGATCGATAGTGATATCGAATGTGATATCGAATGTGGTATCGACTGTGATATCGATTGTGAGATCGATAGTGAGATCGATCGTGAAACCGCATGTGAAACCGAATGTGAGATCGATTGTGAGATCGATGGTGAGATCGATAATGATATCGACAGTGAGACCGAATGTGAGACCGAATGTGAGATCGATTGTGAGATCGATTGTGAGATCGATAGTGAGATCGATAGCGAGATCGATATTGATATCGATAGTGAGATCGAATGTGAGATCGATTGTGAGATCGATAGCGAGATCGATTGAGTGAGACGTTGGTTCCCCCTCCCCCCTCACCTCCTTATCACCCGCAGGGTGGTCGTATGGGTATATGTTTGGAGCTTGTTTTATTTTTCGTCCAAACTCCGCCTGTGGGGGGACATGCCCGACCTCAGTCTTGCGGGGAGCGGGTCCTGGGCTGGGCCCCGGGGCACTTTCCAGGGACCCCTGCACCCCGGGCCCCGCGGGCCCCCCAAACGGCGAACATGTGTCAGGAGTAAGTCGGGCCTGTCCCTCTACAGGAAGAATATTCGAAAAGAGTCCAAAAATAATATGGGGGACGATTTTTCTACTATGCTTGAAAATTTGTGGGATCTGTTTTACTATTTTTCAGTTTTCGTCCAAAATCCGCCTGTAGGGGGACATGCCCGACCTAATGTTAGGACCCATCTCATCCAGGACCCGCTTCCCCTATTTGGAGATCAAAAACACAAGGGGTCGACCAGTACCGTCCCCCAGCCCCTCTTCGGCCACATCCGTTGCTGACCGACTGCCCTGGGGAGGGGTCCTACGGTGTATTCTAAGAGGGTTGATTTATACATTGACGCTTTCTTGGGGGCGGCCTCTTCTGGGGAACAGGGGTGGTTGTGATGCTCGCCCCCCTCTATACAAAAAGCTGCATAAACATGCACTGTCGAAACTGCCCTCGGATTTCTTGGATCGGCGCTGGACCCCCCGGCCACGCCTCCGCCTCTGGCGTCGCCAGGGGGGTCCAGCGCCGATCCAAGAAATCTGCGTGGACCTTCGACGTGTTTTGTTTATGCAGTTTTTGATTATTCGTTCCTATCGAATTCCTTTGAGGACTTACGTTTTTGGACGTTTTTGCGCTCACTTGTGCTTCAAGGGGGGGGGGGCCTCAGGAGGCGGAGGACGGCGATGGTCGTCGGTCAGTCGTCGCTGTCGTCCCTTAACCACCGAAGGCGAGGTGTTCTGGGCGGCAGCAAGCTCACTGAAGGAAAATGCATGCCTTCAGCGAGCCCCAAAATGTGCCTTCCAGAGTGTTTGCATTCAGCGATTCGGTCTGCCTTCGGCGAGCTCTTTCCCCTGCTCCATTTCCAGGCCCTCGGGGGCCATCAAGGAAGGCAACGTGTTGTTGGCGGCAGCGAGCCCAGTGAAAGAAACTGTGCGCCTTCAGTGAGCACAAGAAAGTTGCCTTCAAGCGTGTTCGCCTTCGGCGAGGTCTTTCCCCTGCTCCACCTCCAGGGCCTGCCTTGGGGACCATGTGCCCGAAATAATTTCGTCGTCGAATATCTAAGTCATCATTCCTCCCTTCCTCTCGGGTTCCTCCCTTCCGCTCTCAGCCTCGTCCTGGGTCCGGGGGGGTGGGAGGGAGCCAGGGCCTCCTCCTCCTCCTCCTCCTTCTCCTCCTCCTCCTCCTCCTCCTCCTCCTCCTCCTCCTCCTCCCTGATCTGACAAAATCCATTCAGAACCAGTCCCCAGACTGGACCCCCCTTGGCGGATCTCCCTTCCGGGAGACATTCCTGACGGCCCCGGGGCTCCTCCCAGGGAGAAGAACTCTGCTTCCGGGGCGTTCTCCGGCCAGGATCGTGGCGACGAGAGGCCTCCGTGAGGCTGGGAATGTCCCAGGGCCGCGATCCCCGCGCCTCGATGTTCGCCCACCTTTTGAGTCGGGCGCGTCCCTCGACAGGAGGAACATTCAAACACAGTAACAAACATAGTCTGGAGACGATGTTTCTCGTATTTTCGATTCTGTTCGAGCATGTTTTGACGATTTGTCACGTTTAATTTTTCGATGTTCGCCTACCTTCAAGTCGGGCACGAAGGTGGCCGCGGTTGTTCGCGCGTCGCGGCCCTTGGCCAGAGCGAAAGGCTCGCTCCGAGGGGGCGGCGCGAGATCGCGGGGCGCGATGCGCGAAGTTGGGCGACCTAGAAACAGGGAGGGGGCGAGGGGGGGCGGCCGTCAGAGGAGGCAGGGCCTCTGAGAAGGGCCCAGGGGGCTTCTGAGAAGGCTGCTCAGAAGCCGGGAGGGTTTCAAGTAAGTCGGGCGCGTCCCTCGACATGAGGAACATTTAGAAACAGTAACAACATAGTTTGGGGACGATTTTTCTACTATTTTCGATTCTGTTCGAGCATTGTTTTGCGATTTCTCCTTTTTCCTCCAAGACCCACCTGCAGGAGGACATACCCGACCTAAGCCTACCGCCTGCTCCAGGGCGGCCCTCGCACAACGCCAGCCTCTCGATCTCGTATCGTTTCGAGGCTTTCGCGCACCGCTCCCAGTGGTCCTGTGGCCAAGTTGCCTCGCACTTCGGAGGCCGTTTCTCTGAGCGTTCGAGCCTCTTCGTATAGATTACCCGCAGCGGGTAGGTCAGCCGGCCTTCGGAGAATCGTTGCTGCGAGTCGCATCATATAATGTACGATGTGCCTCGGTTCTCCTCTCCCTGTCACCGTGAAGGGGGGCTTGTGGGAAGCGGGGTCTAGATCCTAGGGCGCTTCTTGACGGCCCGGGAGCTGTGGAGGGCGCCAGGGGAACCAAAAACGGGGAAAACATTCAGGGCAGTTTTCCCTCACGACCCGTCCTCGTCCTACCTCCGCCGGGGGCGCCCAGGAACATGGCGAAGAAGAACCGCTCCAAGGCGGGCAGGGTAGGCAGGAGGGAGGGAGGAAGTTAGGTCCACAGGAGTCTCCAGGCCTGACCGTCCAGAGATTCACGATAGGAAAGACTGCGGTGAATGACGCCCGCCCTACCCCCAGGTCTGTCCCGGACGACTGGGCTTGGCATACGTCAGACATCGTCAGACAGGCCTTCCTATGTTGAGGTGTCTGCCATTCCACAGACGGCTCGAACGCCCAGCCATGACCCCACGACCTCCCCCAGGACGGCTGAGCAGTAAACTGACTCATCCATCGCTGGCGCACCTGGCGGCGGCGGGAGCGGCGGGGAGGGAGGGCTCCGCGGCCCCCGCTCTTCCCCCACCTGCGGGTGGTCGGGGGGCTGCGGGTGGTTCGGATCCCGCACAGGGGGGGCCCGAGCCTTGTGGGGTGTCGACGAGCCCACGGCCCAGCACGGCGTAGGCTGCAAACTCCAAGCTATCCGAGGCCAAGACGAGTCCGAAACGTTGCACATGCGCTGGTCGGTGCCACTCAGGTTGCTCGTGCTGATTGGCCCTTAGCTTAGAATACTCGTCAGCATATGTATTCCCTTCCCATCGCTCTAGGCCCATTGCGTTCCGCTGCACTCTCGTCGCGTGGGCCTGTACCTTCTAAAACGAAGTAATTTAAAGGCTGCCGCCTCTGCCGCCGACCCCAAAGAAGGTTTTCGAGTTGTTCAGTTGCATTTCTGGGTGGCTTCGGGCTCTTCGGTTCTCAGGAAAAACCGGAGCTTGCTCAAGTGAGCGCGAGCGCGATTAGCGTTGCATTGCATGTTTCTGCGTTCGGTGCTGTTGCTGTCCGTCTGTTTTCGCACTTCGAGTTTCGACACGCACTTTCTCGCGCGGCTTGTGCCCTATAGGAGGTTCCATCCAAGAAACTCCCAGATAGTCTCCAAGAGGCTTCCTTAGACATCGTAGCACATTTGGTTGGTTTTTGTTGTCATTTGACGATGTTTGTTTTAGTTTGTAGATTTTTTTTTAGTTTGCCGATTGTTGTTTTAGTTTGTAGGTTTTTGCGTTAGTTTGTCGATTTGTGTTTTAGTTCGTCGGTTGTTGTCGCCCCCTTGTCTAGGCACCGGGGAAAGGGGGCAGGGGGGGGGCGATTCCGAAGTATGTCGTGAGGCCTGTTTGTGAACGTGGCGTGATTTAGAAGGGATTATGGCGTCGGGGGTGCGACTATCGAGTAATTTACGAGGGGTCGTGGTCTCTGAGACGCGAATCTGGAGTAGTGTACGCGGGATTGTGGTCTCGGGGACGCCCGAGAGTCGCCCAAGAAGGCCCAGGAGGGCTTCAAGACAGCCCCAACGCGGGCCCAAGAGGGGGAGCCCGAACCGGAAAATCGAGTGCGCCGCCCCAAAAAGCTCCCAAGAGGCCCCAAGAGGCATCCAAGGGGCTTCCAGGAGGGCCGAAGAGGATCCCAAGAGGCCCAAAAGAGGCCCAGAAGAGCCCCAAAAGAGGGCCCCAAACGGCCCCAAGGGGGTGTCGACATTGCTTCCAAGAGGCCCACGAGAAGCGCCCAAGGCGGCTTCGGAGGCCACCAAACGTGGCTCCGACACGGAACCCGAAGCCTCAGAGGGGTTTCCAAGACGGCCCAAACAGGTCACGTCTGCAATGGCTTTCGGCCTTGCCCGCAACCGTGAATCCGTGACTGGATTGCGCGTTCCCCGCTCCATTGATGTTCGTCGGCATGTCCTGAGAAGCTTTCGACCCCCATGCAGAAGTTTGGAAGCCCTTTCCCGGGGCCGGCTTGTCAGCCTTCGAGTCGTTGTTTGACGGTGGGGGATGTGGTGCGGACGGTGGTGGGGACCGGGAGTCGTTTGCTGCTGGCGGTGGGGTGGGGGGGAGGGGTTGGAACCGGTAGTGACCCCCCCGGTTTTCCGAGAAGGGGGGGGGAGGTTCGAACCGGTAGTGACCCCCCCGTTTTCAAGGGGGGGGGCGGGGGGGGAGGGGTTCGAACCGGTAGTGACCCCCCCCGGTTTTCTGGTTTTCGAGAGGGGGGAGGGTTCGAACAGGTAATTAGTGGCCTTTCTCTGGTTTTTTGGGGGTAGGGGAGGGGGGGGGTTTGCCGGGGAAGGGGGGGGGGGTCCAGCAGGGAGGGGGAGGAGGGGGGTGGGGGGGGGACCCCCGGGTTCTGGAGGAAGAAGGGGGGGAATTTTCCACAGTAAAGCGGCGGTGGATCATGCTCTCTCTCCATCATCACCATTATCATCATCATCAGCAGCAGCAGCAGCAGCATCATCATCCTCGTCATCATCATCATCATCATCATCATCATCATCATCATCATCATCATCATCATCATCATCATCATCATCATCATCATCATCATCATCATCATCATCATCATCATCATCATCATCATCATCATCATCATCATCATCATCATCATCATTTTTATTATCATCATCATCATCATCATCATCATCATCATCATCATCATCATCATCATCATCATCATCATCTGTGCGGATTCCCGAATGCGGACAAGCGGCGCTACTTCGGATGTGCTGTTTTCTGACACCTTCTCGATCACTTGCCTGGAGCTTATCCCTCTTCGATTCGGGAGCGTCTTGGGTTGTGCTCGAATTGTGGTTTGTTGGGCAAATCTAAGGTCCAGGATTTCTGCACACCATGCAAGACCCTTGCAGTCGGGGAGTTCGGCCGTGCGCCATTTGCGCCGCGCGCCGCGCCCGCTCTGAGCTTCTCCGATTTGCTGTGGATCGCCCCTGCCGATATTCCGTGATCCTCCTCGTCCTCCTCATCCTCGTGTTCTTCCTCCCCTTCCCTTCTCGCCCCGTCCTCCTCTTCGCCCCCCTTCATCCCCCCCCTCCCAGTGCCGCGGCCGCGCACTCGCGGCGCGAGGCGTCGATCGTGTTCCTCGCGTCCATGGCGTTTACCATGATCCTGGTCTCCTTGTTTTTTTCGGGGGGAGAGATGCGATCCGTGGATGAGGCGACCGCGCTGCTGGGCTGGTTTTCCACCACCACCACCACCATAAGTTGGAGGAGGAGGAGGAGGAGGAGGAGGACCCCCTTCCCGCCCTACTTGTGGTGGGGTCGGTGGAAAACAAGCCCACCACTCGCGCCAGATCCACGGATCAGGACGAGGAGAAGGGTATCGAACAGATCGCCGAGGCGGCTGCTCAATTTCGGTCTCTGGAGGGGGCCGCTTCGGATCCCGCCACCGTCCGTCATCGATCTGGGGGCGGACAGAGTGAACAGGATGGGCCTCGGGAGGGTCCAGGGGTCGATGCTGAACAGACGTTGAAGAGGAGGACGATGACGACGCCGCCGCCGACGAGGACGAGGAGGATAGAAGTGGTGGGTGGCAATTGGCGCCTCTAATTGCAGGTGGTGGCACGTGTGCCTTGAGGTGGAGGTACGGGCCACCCACCCCCCTACGGCCGTCTTCGTTGACCGAGGGACCGTAGGGGGGGTCCTCGGCCCCCTCTAGTACAAATTGAGGACAGAATTCAAGATTTACTGGTGGGGGCGGGAACCCAAGCAGCCCCATTGATGGAAGCTGCGAGGGGTGTGAGGCCTATTGATGGTCCTCACTGGCGAGGCCTGATGACGGTCCTCGCCGAGGAGAGGGGGGAGAGGAAGGGGTGGGGCGTAGCGAAGATGCCGTCCGCGATACGTCCTGGTCCTGAGGCGGGAATTCCTTGAAGGGAAGGGGCAAAAACACAAAAACGGCATACACAGCTTCGACTCCGAATTGGGTAGGCCGTGCGCACTCGGTATCCCACGGCGGGGGGATAACAAGTGCGCGCGCTCACGCTCTGGTACCAGTTTGTTGCGCCCCCAGGGGCGGACGAAACGTGCCCCGCCCCCAAAGGGCAAGCCAAGGGCCTTGGGGAGGACAGCCGCGCCCCACCGAGAGCATGCCCGAGGAGGGGGAGGCATCCCCCGAAACCAAAGCCAGAGGGAAAGGAAGAGGGAAAGGAAGGCGCACGCATTGGTTCCAGCTTGTTGCACCCCCAGGGGCGGACAACAAAAAACGTGCCCCCCCAGGGGCAGACCGAGGGCCCCGGGGACGGCCCCGCCCCGCCGAGAGCTTTCCCGAGGGTGGGCGGGCATCCCCCGAATCAGTTTATCGCGGAAGGCACAAAGCCCGCGACGCTGCACCCGGGTCCGGGGCAGACGCCCTCGGCCACGCGGCAGGGACACGAAAAGCTGTACTTCGCACCACGTATGCAACGCAGTCCTTTGCGCTCCCCCCCCCCGGGCGGGGGGTGGGGGAACACATGAGGCCGAGGGGCACAGGAAAAGGTCGGCCCGGCGCCTGGAAGGGCCCCAGGACGACGACGAGGACGAGGGAGACGGGCGAGCGGGAGGAGCCAAGCTAGGTGCGCTCGCGTCATATCTGACGTCCTACCCCTCCCTCCTATCCCTTACCATGGCGTAGATCTCCTCTCCATTCGCACAGTCGGATGCGTACATAGCAGGGCATAGCATTATATGGCATAGCATGGTGTCGAAGATCAACGCGTAGCATGCCATAGCATGGGGTGGCGACGCCCCAAAGTGGGCGGGAGCTTCTGCGGCCCATCAAATCGTCGAACCGACACCGAATGTGTAATCACTTCAGATGGTTTCTTCGGGAGGCCATTTTTTTAGATTTTGGGGCCTATTTGGAAGGACCAAAAACCATGCCGTGGCATGGCGCTGGAAATTATGACGCCAGCGCTGCAGCGGGAGCACAATTCGGAACGAGCGGAAGCGCGGAAATGAGGCCAGCGCTGCAGCGGGAGCACGATTCGGAACGAGCGGTAGCCCGAAAATGAAGCCAGCGCCTCAGCGAGAGCAGCATTTTGAAAGAAACAAGCGCGGAAGGGCGGAAATGAGGATGCGTAGCCTGACATAGCATGGCGTGGCGACGCCTCAAAGTGGGTGGGGGGGCTTCTGCGGCCCAAAAACTCAATGAGTCGACACCGAATGTGTAATCACTTTCGATGGTTTATTCCTGGGTCCATTTTCTAGATTATGGGGCTTATTTGGAAGGACCAAAAACCATGCCGTGGCATGGCGCTGGAAATTATGACGCCAGCGCTGCAGCGGGAGCACAATTCGGAACGAGCGGAAGCGCGGAAATGAGGCCAGCGCTGCAGCGGGAGCACGATTCGGAACGAGCGGTAGCCCGAAAATGAAGCCAGCGCCTCAGCGAGAGCAGCATTTTGAAACAAAAACCCAAGCGAAAACCCGTTTCCCGGGAATCAAGTGTATAAAAAACCGGTACGCGGAGGGGGGCCAGCCATTTCCTGGACGTCACCAGGGGAGAGGAGAGTATAGTGTTCATACTGTGTAATTGTGGAGGAGGAGAGAGGAGGTCGGGGCGCTTGTTCCTTCGTTTCTCGAGCGGCCACGGCGGTGGCAAGGTCCTGAGGCGGGATCCTGAGAAGGGCCCTTTGAACCTGATGACACTGCGGGGCGGGGGCGGGGGCCTTGAAAACCAGGGGGGGAGTCGGAAAAAGGCAGGGGCCCAGAACCGGAGCGGGAAAACGACGGCCAGAGAGAGGAAGACGACCAACGGGGGGCAGGACGAAGGGGCGACAACGCAAGAGGAACGACCAGGCCAGGGGGAAAACAATGTCTTGGCAACAAGCATTTGCGACCCAGTGGGCTCCTGGAGGTAGACCTTCACGATAGGTTGGCGGGAAGCGGGCCCGACCGCATCAGTGCCACTACGGCACGGGTCGAACCGTCACCCATGGTGGGCGGGGAGAAGGACACGACCGCGTGAGTGCCACCACGGCACGGATCGAGGCGTTACCCTTGGAGTGCGATGCGGGGGTGGCCAAAGTGCCAAAATGTAAGTAACAGTTGACTGACACTGACAGGCACCATCAGACAGCAGGGGAATAAATTCTGTTCACGGCCCAAAAGAGGATAGAAGTGGTGGGTGGCAGCGCCTCTAATTGCAGGTGGTAGCACATGTGCCTTAATGAGGTGGAGGTACGGGTCACGCTCCCCTACGGCCGTCTTCGTTGGCCGTTGGACCATAGGGGGGTCCTCGGCCCCCTCCAGTGCCAATTAACGGCAGAATTGAAGGTTGATTGGTGGGGGCGGGAACCCAAGCAGCCTCATTGATGGAAGCTGCGAGGGGTGTGAGGCTTATGGACGGTCTTTTCTGGCGAGGCCTGTTGACGGTCCTCGCCGATAGGAGGGGGAAGAGGGAGGGGTGGGGCGTAGCGACGATGCTGTCCGCGATGCGTCCTGGTCCTGAGGCGGAATTTCCTTCAAGGAAGGGCAAACATTTAAAAACGGCATACACAGCTTCGACCCCGAACTGAGTAGGCCGTGCGGTATCTCACGGCGGGGGGATAACGAGTGCGCGCGCTCACGCTCTGGTACCAGTTTGTTGCGCCCCCAGGGGCGGACGAAACGTGCCCTGCCCCCAAAGGACAAGCCAAGGGCCCTGGGGACAGCCGCGCCCCGCCGAGAGCATGCACGAGGAGGCGGAGGCATCCCCCGAAACAAACCCAGAGGAAAAGGAAGAAGGAAAGGAATGCGCACGCAATGGTTACACCCCCTTCGGCGCCCACCTCCTTTACCCCTCCACTCGAGGAAGCGTAGACATGGATCAGGGCGCGTGGATTGGCGACGGGTCTCGTTCTCGTGCAGGCTCGGCGCGCTCCGTCTCCATGTCAGGCGGCATTGGCCGCACGTTTCGGGGGAACACCTTCCCCGATCCGTGTTGGGGTGCGCCCGGTCCACTGCCTCCCTCCCCTCGTTGCATTTGCTCGTCGCCCCTGCGCCCTCTTCGCTCTCTTCCCTGCCCCGCCCCGCTCCTGCTTCCCCTCTCCGCCGTCCCGCTCCCGCTCTCCTTCCCCCGTCCCTTTCCCCCTTCCCTGCCCGTTCCTGCTTCGCCTTCCCCGTGTCCCCTCGCCCCCTTCCCCCGTTCCTTCCCTTCCCATGCCCCCGTCCCCCTTCCCCCGTTCCCTTTCCCCCGTTCCCACCGTGTCCCCTCGCCCCCTTCCCCCGCTCCTGCTCCCCATGCCCCCGTGCCCTTCCCTTCTCCCGCTCTCCTTCGAGCGGTGCAGGGGCCAGTCGAGAGCATCTGCACGGGGGGGGGGGTCAGAGCGAGGAGGAGGAGGAGGAGGAGGAGGAGGAGGAGGCGCGGAGCACGAAGCCTATGGGCCACCACGTGGGTGCGAAGTTAGTCGTGCTTCGCGGTCTGGGCGATGGCGATTTCAGAGCGAGGCGCGAGTCTTTCGTCTTGTTCTGGGGGGGGAGGGGCGCGAAAGCGCGAAAATAATCGCGCTTCGCGGAGCGCGAAGCGCGAAGATAGTTGCCCTAGGGATCAGAGTGAGGAGGAGGAGGAGGAGGAGGTGGAGGCGGAGGATGAGGAGGCACCCATCGAAGTACGAAGTGCAGCACATCCAGCACGACGCCATCAACCGATCAGTCGACACGATCAGCAGCATCCACCACGATACCAAGACTCCGCTCTTCAAGATCCACACCCACAGGATTACAAAAGACAGCTCACCTAACCTCGTCCACCCTAACGGCCTTGACGATCAAATGCGTGACATGTACAGACAAGAAAGTACGAGCACGATCAACGATGCATCGCCTGGCAACCTCGTGCGAAAGTCATGATGCATTGCCACGCAACCAGGGCACACTACCTGACGTCAGTTCCCCCATCTTTCACACAACTCCGACTCAGAGGATTCTCACGAGATACGTCATCCACCAGATGAGTAGCCTTACGGCCCACCAGACCAGCGGCAACAGCCTGGACATCGGAGCCCAGCTGGATTGTGACAAGATCATGGACTACATCAAGATCGACCTACGGCACATACAACCCTCACAGAACACCCACCCCATTCGCAACGACAACGTTTAAAAAGCGGTCGCCAACGACATGATCCAGCACATATGATATTCTGCCAGCAGGTCAACCCACCCCCCGATCACCACAGACCTGACCAATCCGACCCACCACCTGACCCCAGACGCCA